TTGTTGTGACCCCTCCAAAACACAGAGACGAGGGAATCCAAGTAACTTTTTAAGAGAGATTTTTGCTTCTACCACCAGGTTAATTCACTTGTGTTATGGTTCCTCTATGTTATACATTGCAAAAAAATACTTCAGGCAGTCACCAGTATTTAGATTCCACACTGTGCAGACTTGCTCCAAACAGGTCTGGGCAATAGTTGGAAGTGTTCATCCCTGACAGCATCTCGAGCCTACACCTGGTTCTCACAGGAGACCATCTCCAGCAGAATGGAACAGATGGAAAGCTATAAAGCAAGAAGTTCAGCAGGTTAGACCAACAAAACTGCTGCCCAATCCTGCCCACAACAAAAAGCTGAGGGATGTTTAGAAAAATTTTTTAACAGACATTTGAGTTGGCATTCGGAAGCCATATGCAGGCATTACGCAGCTCGAAATATTAGAAAATGGACCGTGCTAACGTCCATGTAAGCTGGAACTTCAAAAAGTTCAGCTGAACTCCAACTGATTGGATCCCACTGACCTTGTTCTCGTGAGCCCTGTTCACGCAAGGCTGCAGCTCACCTTCCAGCACTCGGCAAGCTGCCAACTGTGACAAGCAATAAACTTTAAACTCATCAACAATCTGATGTCTACTCGCTCTCAAGTCCTGTTATTTACAGGACTTTGTGTGGCCTGGCCAGAAGTCACCTTTCCTGTAGGGTCCCCAAGAGGTACCAGGTCCTGGAGAGGACAAACACACTGTGACTTAGGATGAACGGCAGGAACGACAAGACATAAGGAAGAAGCAAAGTCGGGGCAAATTCTGTACACACGGGACCTTCACGGCAGAGCCCAGCTTCCAGCAAGATGAGAACATGAAGTGTAGAGACAGACGACTACCTCCCAGGACCTCAGCTGGCTCGGCAGTTTGCAGTCCCTTCCAGTCGCTCGCTCCAACACAACACTCATGTTTTACAGAAACCTAGATTTCTATCTTGCTGCTAACTTTATTGTACGTTATTTTGGCAGGTAACCAAGGTTGGTTCCTGCCAGCTCAGCCGAGCTAGATTTTATCCTCTGAGATCCCAAAGATCCACATCCTGCAGCAAAGCGTTCCCTTCCTCCTGGGGCTGCTATCAGCCTAAAGTGTCTTTACTACTGCTGTAATAACAGAGTGTGAAGACGAGCCCTGAACAGAGGTCACCAACAGCACTCTGCATCCTCTCACCCACTCCCTGTCTCGAATAAAGGTCAGTAGGTCTCCTTCCACCCCTGTGCCCGTATCCTGTCCTCACCGTCGGAGCTGATGGCTCAGCCGGCCTCTTCCAGCCGCTGCCCAGCGCTCCCCTTGAAACTCAGCACTTCCCTTCAAAGCTGCAAACGTTCACTTAGTTTTCAAACTGAAAGTCACACCCCCACCGCTTTATCTGAACCGTGATACCGCTTGGAGAGGTCCCAAAACAGCCACAGAGTAGACGAACAGTCCTGAAGGGCACCTTAATACCTGCAGAACAGGAGCTCAAACTCTCGGCCCCGGGACAAGCACGGCTGGGGCTCTGCCCTCCACCCACAGGTGTTCATCACGTCCCATCATACACAACCCCACGCTCACCTTCACAGCCCTGGCTGAACGACTGTCCCACCACAGCAGCTCTAGTTGCACAACAGACCTGGGGACTCATTTTTCATTCTGATACAGGAACAGCATTCCTCTCTCGCCCTCATCAGCTCAAGACCCAGCTCTAACCCCAAAACAAACAGCTGCTTTGCATAGTTGAAGCGTCTGGAAGAAGCAATAAAGCTATTTTTCCAAAAAGACCTTGAACACCAGTAGTGTCCCTCAGGCCACAGCCAAGTCTTAAGTCCTGCGGCCGAGAGCAGGGGGCTGGAGCTCCGTCCATGCAGACCAGAGCAGCGCTGGAACCCGCTTCCACCCTGTCCCAGCCACCCTCCCACTCCAAAAAGCCACAGAGGATGTGGACAGAAGGACGTGGACCGAGTCAGCTCCGTTTTGCTGGCATCTCTACCATAGTCAGGCAACCAGTGGCCAGAGGAAAGGACGGAAAAGGGAGGCTGTATTTCCGCATTTGGAGAAAAACACCATTTGCATCTCTCAAACAATCAGTCTAACTGCCAGGACTGCCTCTCTCCCTCCTAATAAATCATTAGCCCTGACTGCAAGCACAGATTCCCGCCGATCCGCAGGAACGTGGCATTTCCAGGCTGTGCTGGACCTGCTCTTTATCTCACCCAGGTTCCTGCTGTGTACTGGCACGCAGATGAAGTTTTCCAAGTCATCAAAGTTTCACTAAACACCACTTTCTTGAGCCTGGAGCATACTTAAAAGACCTTTCAGCAAATCCGAGGCAAGGTTTGGAAAGGAAGATGCTCAGCAGGAGGTGGGCTCATCTGGCAGGTCTGCCTGGAGAGAATCACCCCAAAAGACCCAGGTGGCTGCTCAATGCAACCAGCACCAGGTTTGATTTTGGTACCCCCAAAAGAGAAAGAGACATTGGTTTTCTCAAAGAACTGCAGCTTCCAGCTCACAGGAAATGTCTGCTGCTGCCCAGTTCAGGCCAAAAACAAGTTTCTGAAAACCTCAACATATCTACAAAACAGAACCCTTGTTTTTGGCTGGTTGCCTTGGCAACACACAGCAATCTCTTGGGAAGAAACCAAGGAATGCATCCTAATACTAGCTCTTTCCTTTTCAGGCATCAACACTCAGCCTTATTAACCAGAGTAAAAGCCACAAACATTCTCTAGGTTAACAGTAAACAGAAATCTTTCCATTTGCTACAGCATCAGCATCTTCTAAATCCTGGCTACAAAGTCAAACTCCATGCTTGCCACCCCTAGCAGGAAGGGAAAAACCTTGTGTTTCTCCCACTACATCGCCACGCTTAATTTCACCCAGAACTTGTTTCTCTACTACTTCTCCTTAAGCTGGATCTTATTTTCCGAAGGGTTCCCATCTGTTTCAGCCTCCCGAGCTCCACAATGTGACAGGCAGTTCCTCCTTTGCCTTTTAATTTCTCTCTTCTCAGAAACCAGACCTTTATGGAGTTCTCGTGCAGGGCATCCCTCACGTGTAATTCTTCGCGAATGCTGTTACAGTTGGATGTGCAGCATTTAGCACGCTTCACCTTCCGAGTGCCTGCACAGTGGGATAATTAATGCTATTAAGCTGGTAAGAACATAGGCGGAGAAGCTACATGACCTGCCAATGTCACACAAACCCAACAGCGAACAGACAAAACAGTCGTTAACCAATTTGAAAGAATCATATGATATTTTAGGCTGGGACGGGACCTCTGGAGGTCTCTGCCCAAACACCTGCTCCAAGCAGGTCTGACCTGATCAGTTAGTTGCTCAAGGGTCTCCCCAGGCAAGTTTCAAACAGCTCCAAGGACGGAGGGGCCACTGCTCCTCTGGATTCCTGTTCCAGGGTTCGACCCACCTTAAACAATTCAGTCGCTGCACAAGCCTCATCCTCATCTCCCTCCCTTTTTTGTACTGTTAAGGATGGCTTCCACTGCGCACCATTTAACTGGTTTTGCTTACTTGAGGTTTTATTCCTTTACCTGCAAGGCTGCTGCCCCAACAACGCAGCCCTGCACAGAGAAATCAGCTCCTCTGGCTGCATCAGAAGCCGGGCTCATCGCAGAGCGGCTGTCCCGCAGGGTTTCCTCTGTATTTTCTGCTCCAGCCTAAGAGCATCTGTCACTGTAACATATTATCTTGATATCTTTACCATTTATACCACACCTGATTTGACATAAATCCACATAATACCCCAAACTGAACTGAGCAGAGCCAAGAAAACAGCTGGAATGAGTGCATGCCAGGAGGTATTTCAGCAGCAGAACAATTCCAGTCTGATTAAGCATTTCACTGTAGGAGGACAAGGAAAAACTACACCGAGGAGCACCGAGTGAGAATCAACACTCCTGCTTATTTGGATATTCGGGTTCTCATGGCACTCATGCTCCAGATCCGCTCCCTGCGTAAGTCACAATCAAGTTAACACAGACAGCGTGCTCTTGTGAAGGAACTTAACGTCGAGCTGCACCCTGTTCAAAGGATTTCCTCAAATTAATAATGCTCAGTGCCTTAGGCACCCATGTGGATTCAGTCCATCAAATATTCAGTCAAATTTAGGTAACGGAACGTCAAACAACTCTTCTCGCTATGGAAAAACATGTCACATCGCAGACCTACAGATGGGGATGTGTCACCTCGGCGCGCTGCTTCCAGAGCCGAACAATTCACGCCTACTCCTCCGGCGCAGCAAAATAACCCGCTCTTTCAGCATGACTGTGTCTTTATCACATCCAGATACGTTCCACCACGCCATGCAAAGATTAATTCTCAATTTAAGGCTCACAAGGATCTAAGTTAGATCCCAAGCAGCCAGCAAACCTGGCATTCGCTCCAAAGACGCCTGGAGCAATCGACGTCTCACGGATTTTCGGAGATGCAGCTGCAGACGCAGAGCGAGCAGCCAGGTGGTACAATCCTATCACGGGGAGTTAAGTTGTTGCTGATCTCTTTCTGCCTAATAGAGACCTAATTCCTGAGCCTCTATCAATAGATCACTAATGCGGGGAAGATGCCAGCACCACGCTGCCCACTGCACTGTCACAAGCCGAGCAGTGACCACGGGCACCTCAATGTGGCCACCACCCCCTGGACACAGCGAGCGGGGCTGGAGGGGGGGCAACTCCACAGCTGTTCAAACCACACCACTCACTTCAATTTTCTAAATACCTGAAATATTTTCCTTTCCGTTATCATACCTCCAAGAAGCAACTGCGGGTGAGGCGCTGGAGTTCTCACAGGTCCTAGCCCACCCTTGCAGCACCCGATGCCCACTCCCCGAGGGCAAGCCTCTGCCTTTCAAAAGGCCCAGAAACCAGTGCCCACCTTCCCACCCAGTGCCTCACGCCAAGACAAACCAAAAGCAGTACTGAGCTACTTTCAGCCTGGCTGTCCAGTGCAGAGGTGCCCCGGGCAGTTACCTTCTTGCGGCGGGAGCCCGTCTTGCTCATGCAGGACCTCTCCAGGGACAGGTACCCTCCGATCACTTCGATCTCGTTCACGGTGGGGTAGCGCTTTTTATGGGATGTCCCCGCTTGGGGCCCGTCAGCGTTCTCCACAGCTTTGCCTTTTCCTTTGCTCTCCTCCTCCTCCTCTTCCTCTCGCTGGGGCCTTCCGCTGGCATCAGTCTGCAGCCCCGAGGCGACGGGCTTCCTTTTGGGCACAACAGTGAAGGTGCTGCCTCCCCTCTGATGGGGGGCAGAGTGTGGTCTGTAGAGGGGCACGGAGGAGAACTCCATCTCCAGGTCAGGGCCAGCTCCTCCAGGCTGCTCCGCCAAGCTCCCCGTCCTCACAGTTTTTTTGGTGGAAAGCTCCCCGCTGTCCGGCTCCACGATGTCATCGATGTAAGTCACAGGTACCAACGGATCCAGAGGCACCGGCGGGGAAGCGACAAGCTCTTCCTGCGCCGGGGCGGAAGCCCTTGGGGGCTCCTTCGGTGCCTTCTCCTCCGAGGACGGTGGCGGCCCCGGCCTGGTGCTCTGGGCAGGGGGCAGAGCCGGGCCGCCCTCCCGGCGGGGCACGAAGAGGAAGGAATTGCGTGAATTCAGGCGCAGCTTGGCCAGGGCCTGAGCCTGCAGGTCGTGGGCTGGGATGGCAGCCAAGTCGGGCTTGGGGGCCGGGTGGATC